GAAAAATACTAGGGTTGGTGCCAGGTGGGCTTTAGTGGGGATCTTGTTCTATAAATGGGGATACCCAAACCCTGTAGCTTAGGCTGGTGGCAAGGATGGATGTCATGGAGTAGGAATATACTCTGTCCCCTGCTTAGTCTCCAACATTGTTTTGAATTTAATGGGAGGAAAAGACCAGTTCATTCCCTCCCTCAGAATGGTTTGGGGGCAATCACTGGCAGAGCTTTTCCTTGGCATTACTGGAATCTTCTTTGCAGATAGCCCTGGCTCCAGCAGGGCTCCTCTGTGCTGGCTGGAGTGCACTTCCACCCAGTTCTGTCCCCTCCAGAAAGTGAGTCTGAGGGTAAGGACTGCACAGCAGGCAACACAATAGTCAATATGCAGAAAGTACTCTAAGAAGAAAGCACACAATCCAAAAGCACTTGACACTGTTAAACATGAACACAGATGCTGAAAGGGTGAATAGCAAGTTCCAGTTCTCTTGATGTTTCACATGTAATTTTGAATCATGACTTTAAACTAAGGAGATACTTCTTTTACCATTTTAGTCACCTGATACAGTGCTCCTCTTCATTGCTGCAATTTCCGTATTTGTAATTGGGAAACCTTTGCTGGTTTCTTCATAGAACTCACAATCAAGGTCTGGTTGCTATGTAACTTTGAGTATTTCACATTATTAGTATCCTGTCCTTGTACCATTTTAACCTTCTAGTTAGAACTACTCATGATAAGAACTTTAAAACACCAGCATATTATTGTACAGAAATTCTCTTGGTATCTGTTTATGGAAGAATATTTCTATAGTATGCCAACATAAACTGAAACAACTCTGCCATTGATAATGAAATGTGTTGCAATGCCAGTAGGAATAATAGTGCATCAAATAGTCTTTTTTTTTTTTTTTTTACATAGGAGGTTGTTTACAATGAAGATGAAATATTATCTTGAATTACATAATTTGTATAAAATTTTGAAACATGAGATTGACATGGCCTAGGAAAAATGCTTTCCAACATAGCATGACAGCCATTTATATACAGATAAAATGAGTAATTTTGTCATAGTTGTTTATTCCATTAAAGATGGGGTGGGAGTGGAGAGGAGCTGGAAAATATATCATCCAGATTATAGAAGTTTATTACATCTAATCAGTCTCAACATATTTCAAAGATTCTGCCCCATTCTCTGGAGGTTCTGTCACATAAATGGAATCCAGAGAAAGAGTTGAGCTGACAGAGACTAGCTTAAGGTCTTATGGAGAGCCTGGTACTCGGAAGTCATTTGTTATTAGGGCTTAAATGAGTGTCGAGTTACTCCAGAACTACTACTGGGAATGAATTTACTTAAAAACAAATAGCCACCACCTACTGGGTTAAAACCAAAAGGGATCTAATATGCTAGAGGGAATGGCTTGTAGCTTTCGTTGAAAAATCAACCTGAAGCACACCCTAAAATAACTGGGGGCCCTAATAAGGAAACAACCTCTGCCTCCCCAAACTACTCAGTACTATCTCCCAAAACCGCAGCTGTCCCCTCACCTCAGCTGCAGGTATAACACCTCTCCCAAGCTTTGATGGGAATATCATTCAAAAATGCAGATAGATGCCCAATTGTTATCTCAAGATCACCTCCAAACCATTTGCCTGCATTGACTAAACTTCAATTGGCCTGCCTGCATGATTTACTAGCAATCTATTTAAATGAAATAATGTAATAATACTGGCTAATTTTACCTTATCTTGAATATAGGCTACAATAATCAAGCAATATGATGATAGCAGAAATTCAAAATGGCCCAGTTGTTACCACTTTGCAAAGCTTTCACCTTGAATCATTTCTAACCCAACTCAGGACAGCTTGCAACACTTAATTACAAATTCATAAATATACTAATACAAACTGTCAGCCAAGTAGATGGGTTCAACTGTTAAAGCAAAAACATTAAAAAGATGTCTCAAACTTTGGAGTATCATGCTCCCAGGTTTTAAAAATCCATATGCTATTTACATTAGCTGAATTCACCTCATATGCATTTTAATAATTTGATTTAGGGCCATCAAATCCTGTACATTTTTCATCAGGAAGGTTGGAATTCAATGGAACTTATTCTAGGCATTCCAGGGAGGTTCACACATAGTATGAATTTGATAAGCTTCACATAGTATGAATTTGATAAGCTTCATTGAAAAATGAAAAAGGGAGGCTATCTAAAACAGCTGCAGTTTGCAAACCCAAAACATCTTTCAATCAACAATTGATGGGTTTACTTAAGAAATACTGAACTGTCTATAGAATATGCACTCTGCTTAACTGATAAAGGCACAATATACATTAAACCAAAACTGAAGGTTATATTTAGACACTGCTACAATCAGACACAAAACTTTTATTATCTTTTACTGGGGATGAGAAAAGAAGCAGATACTTCCTTGAAGAAGCTTTCCTTGTCAATTCTAAGCTGGCCAAAGCAGATATTTAGTGGAACAGAGAACTGCAAAGTGAACTCAATGGACTATGTGAACAAAAGGAAAGGAAACAGAGTACTGTGCATTTTTAGACTGTAGGAAGGAAATTAATTAAGTCCTTGCACTGGCCAAAAGAAGATTTGGATAAGCAGAAAAATAAATTACTCCTTCAAACACTGATAGAATTACAGGAATAGCCCGAGTCAAACCTCAGGGAATACACTGCAAAGGCAATCAAGCTTAAATCCTGGAGAAAACACTGAAAATGAGGACTAAATGGTGTGTGTGTTGTGGGGGAAGGGATTGAAGACAAGTATATAGCCTGATGTTCCCAGCTGGCTGGCCCAAGTTGTACCTACACATGGCTGACACAAAATTATTGTGGGGTTGTGCAGTGTGGGTGGGTGGCGGGGAGGACACATAGCTGCTATTCTATCAGTTTGAGAATTACATAAATACAATCCAAGCATGGGCATCTGCAGACATTTTTCTAAGGGGAGCTGCATGGGACTTTGTGGCTGTAATTCACATGCATAGTGGATGTCATACCACTACCACACACCCAAACATTTCCCTTCTGTGTTTGTTTAATGTCACATTCCATGACATTTAGAAGCCTAGACAGAACAGTGGAAGATACTGGAAACTGAACAATGCTAATGCATAAGAGTATTAATTCAAGAAGCATCATGAACTCTAATTAAACTCTGTTTGGAATGAGGGATTAAAAAGGAACCACATAGCTTGGAACAAGAAGGAAAAAGCCACATGCATGAACACAATACAGCTGTCTTAAGAATATAATTAGATATTGGAGGGCATCAACTTTATCAGAACATTGCCAACATCACATGGTTTGTGTAGGAATTATTTCCTTCATCATGGAAATGCTGGTGAATCTTCTCAAGATCAGTTGACCCTGATCGCATGCCTTCCAGATGTTTTGCCCTACAACTCCCTGTATTACTGACCATTGGTATGTTAGCTGGGCCTGATGGTAACTGAAGTCCAAAGCATCTTGGAGACACTAGACAAGGCAAGGAAGCCCTTAGGCCAAGGACCATTTCAGGGATGAAAGGTAAGGTTAACTTGGAGTATGTGGTCCCAGTGAGCTTGCATTCCGTTTCTAGGCTCTGCTGTGCAGGCAACACAAATAGGTTCAGGTACCTTCACAACAGGGCTATTTATTACTCTAACACATGAGAAAACATTAACTTCTGAGGAGGTACATAGCACATTGTCTCAGTTTGAAGGCCTGCAATAAGGGGAAGACAGGGGAGAGAAAGTGACAGATAAATGGGGAGAGACCTCGCTTCATTCTCCTACAAAAGCCAAAAAAAAAAAAAAAAAAGCAGGCTCACGTAAAGCTATATCCTCATAAGAACCCTAGCCAACCCTTCAAATATGGCACTGCTGTTGTAATGATGGCTAATACAATTTCAAAGCTCAAGCTGCATTTTCCTAAAGTCAGGAAACTGGACATTAATAATGGACTGCACTACAGAGTTGCCACATTGTACTCTAACCCTCTCTGGGGTTAAGTAGCAACACCAAGCAATTTTACACAGCCCACCCTTTCTCAGCCACACTCCTGCTTCCTGTAATGTGGGTACATATCATTATGATGAACACAGGTGTGTACACACCTGCCCAATCTCAATTATCAGGCTAAATCTAGCAATCTGAAAAAGAGGCCTAATTTCATGCCTTCACTCTCTCTTACACACAAGGGCCCTTCAGACATTTGTATCTGTGATGGCAAACAGATGTCACAACTGCGACAGTGGCCAGTACTTGATGAATTCTGTTGCCTTTCGGTTGCAATCTCATTGTAAAGGGATACTACATATTATTAAGCAGACAGATTTGTGTCAATTTCATGGCTCCATCATGGTTAAAATGCCTTTGTGAAAAGTGCACCAGGAAAGTGCATGAGATCCAGTTCTGCTGTTGCAGCAAGCACTGGGCCAAGAAACAACATTTTGGTGACATGTTGACAGTGAGATTCTGCCCACAGCAGTAGCAATCTACATTGCAGTGCCTGCAGGGAATCATAACAACTGTGCAAGCTCACAAGTTGTGAAGTTTTCTGTAGCCAATCACATGCCCAAACATTTTACTTTTCTGACACAGTGGCTCAAGAAACTGGATCAATTCTAAGGACATATAAAGTGCACAGTGGGGTTATGAATGCATGCCTTTGCCATTTAACTACATTGCTACATAAATCTTAAGAATAACAAGTTTCCATAAAATATATGGTGTTGGTCTATGTTCAGCACAGTGTGTTAAATTTGTTATCATTTTTGAATGAAAGGCATCATCAAAATTCCTATATTCATATATTTTACTTGTAAGCAATAACTTTCTGCATACATTTGTCTATTTAAAGAATGTGATGGTGTTGAGAATTATGGGGGTGGGGGGAAACCCAAATTCTAATAACTTTATAAGAAAAGTTGTAGTCATAATAATTGCCTATACTACTATAGGAAAATACGTATACTACAAGAAGATTCTGGGTTTGGTATATTGTATAATTTAATATTAATATAACGATAACAGCCGTTCTTGTGATAAAGCAGGGATGGACACATACAGCCACCACTGAAGGTCTTCAACTCATTGTGCACATTATCCAGACAAAGCTGAACATTTAATGTTGTGATCCTTTATTCTCTTATTGGACCCAGTGGTTCTTACTTCTAAGTAGATATAAGATTGCACTGGAAATCTGCAGTGCTAAAAATGCTTGCAAAGTGTCACTGAAGTCAGTTGGATTTACTTCTGAGTAAACATGCACAGGCTCACACTGCGAGTCAGGGATTTCATTAGGATAAAGAAACATGCTAAATTTTTCCATTTATATCTGTAGGCATTTGCTTGGATAAATTCATATATATGTGAGCTTTTCTATTTTAAAATATTTTAGTTTTAATTTTAATTTGTATCTAAATCTGCATACAATTCTGTAGAAAAACAGTATACAAAAAATAAATGCTGAGATTTATACATTCTTTTCAATAGACTTCAGTATGTAAAACTCATGGTAATTGTTGCCTGAGCATTGCTCTCTTTGACTAATTCTGTAATGTACTCTGTTGCAAATTCCAATAATCTAACAAGGAAAAGGGTTTCTTCTTGTCTGGTTTTACATCTTAAGACTAGGTTAATAGTTTTGTGAATTATCCAGATAGCTTTAATATTGGTGGTATAAAGTAAAACAATAAATATCTTGAATTGTCTTAAATATTTCCTTGACTTTAGTTACACTTTGCCTTGTTATCCAGGACACTATATCTAAACTTCTCACAGTTTCCTGGCCTACCTAGACAACACAATGACATGATAGAATTTAGAGCAGACTGGACTAAAATAATTCCTGCAGGTAAACATCTATACATTTGGGGGGAAAGTTCATACACTGCCTGCTCCATGCTCTTTGATTCTCCTTGCAGATACTTGTTTTTTCATGTGAACATTCCAAACTGTGATCTTTCACCTAAAGTTTAAGTTGAACATTTTACTTTAATATGTCAGATTACTATCTTTTTAATCCCACCTCATTCAGCCACAAGTCTAAACCAGGCCTCAGATCATTCAATTTCATGCTTGAAATGGTTAACAAATGGGGACCTAAGAACTCTTGAGTCAGTAATAGTATTGACTGTTCAAAAGCCTGAGTATTTTATCCATAATGCAGTTTACTAAGGCAAAAAGTTAACTATGTTTGTAGCCACTGATTTCAGTTGGATATCTCAGTAGATTTGCCTTGGATTATTTATTTAAAATTTTTGTATACCATCCACTACCAAATAGTCTTGGGACAATCTTAAAAAAAACCAAAGTAAAGCCAAGCATCCATTCTGTACAATAAAGCCCCAATTAAAATTATGACCAAACTGTCCATCATTACCTGGGTGCAGGAAAAAGTTTTAGGCTTTATTCCCATATTCATTCATGGGAGTAAGTCTCATTTAAATAAGTTGGGCTTGTTGATTAACAGCTTTATAATTTAATGTATAAAGTATAAATCTTAATCACATTAATAGGCTGATGTTTGTTTTCACACATGAAGCTTAGACTGGACTTGTTTGCAGACTTGCTTCAGAAGGAGTTTGTTTTTATTTGACTTTATTAACAGCACATTCAACTTTGGCTATTGGACAATACAGAAATATAATAAACAAAGGAGCAAGGTTGTACAAAATGCAATAATGCATGACACCAACAGGTGTGTTTCCTTTGCTGAGGGGATATACCCCTTCCTCTTTTTTTCATTTCACATAAATTTTATTGATCCTTTTAACAGCACAGGACAGAGCCAATCAGGTTACTTCTTGAAGATTATGGTAAGTGTCTGCAAGATGAGGCAAAAAAGGCCCTGGAACAATGCTGGTACATAGCTGCACACATGAAGCACATGCTCACAAAGCATTTTGATAAGTACATGCAGGATCAAGATAAAATCTCTTGGAGAAAGCTTGGTGGAGAGGATCAAGGTAAAAGTTCAGTGTTGGTAAGCAGCTGCAGCACTAGGGTAAATGATCATATGGCAATAAAGGTTACCAGTAGCAGGATCAGATGTCTTCATGATGGTGTTAGACGTATTAGGTGCAGCTGAAGGATGATTTGTTAATGAGTTTGCTGTGGAAGTGAACAAATCTTTTATTATCTACTTGTAGCTGCCATTTTAATACTTCAGCTGTTTGGCCTTCAATGGAACCAAAAGCTCTTCCTACCTTTCTTCTAATCACTTTTGTACTTTCTAGAATTGGTTCCTTTCTCCTTTGGCTCTTTCCAGCCAGCCCTACTAAACCTTTAACTTTCTAACATCAAAACTTCTACCTGCATTTCTGCTCATCTCCTCCTCCTCCTCCTCCTCCCTCAGTTAGTGTAAGAACTCTCCGTAGGAAAACAGTTTAAGTTTTTGGGTGTTTATGGCACTAAAAGAACAGGACTTGGAAAAGTCTTTAAGGAATCCTATAGAAGCTGTCTGTAATGGGAAAAGGCCCCATTATAGACAATACACTGAAAATGCCAGGTAATTTTACACTTCATGTTAAAAATGCCTTGAGCCTTTCAGGGAGTAAATAAAAATCTACTTGAAAAAAGCAATAGCTTGCACACATGCTGGCTTCAACCTGTATGCTTCAAAACAAACATTACAAAATGAAATGTCATTATCAATATCTCTTGCAGAATTTAATATACAAAGTGTTTCATGGGTGTTATATATAGATCCCTCTGATTTAAGCTCAAGGAAACCAGAGGTTTGCCCAAGGTCACTCTAGTGGAAAGCGTTTGTTAGGAAACTTAGGTCTTTTCCATACAAGACCTCTGCCCCTACTCCTTCTACTCCATCCAGGCAAAACTAATTACCGGCATCGACACAATCCTTTCACCCTCATTGCTTTCTACTTCCGTCATCCCTTTCATACCAGAAATCTTTCAAGAACATCACTCCAACATTGGCATCCCTTCAAAAAATCAAGCACACGATCCCTGTCCATTTTCGCCGTTTTATTGCTCCTTGCCTCCAGATCCGTTTCTTCTATTCCACATCTTGAACACTGCCAACCTGATTAGAAACACAGAAAGCATTATTTATATTGGAATAAAGATAACGCGCGCTCCACCGGTATGACCGTGTGATGTTCCCCGGCGGCCCTGCGGACTAGTGGGGATTACCCTAAGGGCCGTCACCGGGCTCTGTAGTCGCGCTAGCAGCAGGCGCACGGTCGTGGACTAGAATACGCTGAATCAGCGCATGCAAACTATGGGGGAGGGGAATTAAAATGAAGAATGGCCCCAAGACAGTCATTGTCTAGGTAGACCTCCACCATTAGTCCTTCGGGGTTACTGCACTAGGCCCTGTGCACTTTGACTATGAAGCAAGCCCCCCAACTAGCGGGGCTTACTCTCAGCCGAGTGCGCACCGGACTGTGTGCAGCCTGGCTAGGAGAAGCAACGTGCTTGGCCCAGTCCGCCCCAGTGCACGCTTATTCGGAAAGTGCATGCCTCTGAATTTTTTTTTAAAAAAAGCTTACTCCCGACGTCAGCGCGCGCCGGGGATTACAGCCCCAAATCCCCCTTTCTCCTGTTGCCAGAACCGGGCATTAAAGAGCAAAGCACAACAAAAACAACCACCCAAAAGCAACGACATCCGGGTGCTGCTCGAGGCCTTTTAGCGCGCATGCTCCGCGGGGTTCGTTTCTGCTTTGCCACCACCAGCAGCAGTTTAAGGAGGCAGCAGCAGCAGCTGCCACAGTGGTGGTGGGGAAGAAGACGGTCCTGCTGCCGCCTCACGGAGGGGGTTGCGTTTCCGTGTTGTCAGGCGAAAAGGGAATAGGCAGGGTAGGGAGGAGGCAACGGAAGCCGGGGCAGCTTCGCAAGAGGATGGTTGTGGGGGCGTGTGACAGCCAGCGGCACTACCGCCGCCGCCACCGCGAAGCGCCGCAGGTGACACTCCTGGGGCAGGAGTCGCACTGAGGGGAGCACTGCTGGCGAGGCGACCCGCCAGAGGCAGCCACCGTCCGCGGGGGAGTTGGAGCGGCGTCTGAGGCAGAGGGGGAGAGCGAGCGAGGGTCGGAGCTGGCGGAGCGGGGGACACATGGTTGGATGACAGCCGCGACAGTTGCTGCTCCCGCTATGCGAGACTGGCAGGAGAGGAAAGGGGTGGGCAGAGGCTGAGGCTGTCGTCGCGGTCGCTTCTCGGTTCGCAGCCGCGCGAGCGGAGGGGCGGGGGAGGAGGCGAGAGCGAGCGAGCGAGCGAGCCACAGGGGCAGACGCGGACTCGGCTCGCTCGCTCGATAGACGCGCGGCGGCGGCGGCAGAAGCAAGCCGAGGAGCGGGCGCGGGGGGGGGGGTCCGAGCCTGTGGCGAAGAGGGCCCAGGATTGGGGCTTGGACGGAGAGGCGCAGTGAGGCGAGGGAAGGAAAGCCTGCAGGAGGTGGCCTGAGAGGCCTTCCAGGAGTCTAGAGGAAAGGGAGGGCGGGCGCTGCTGCTGCAGCAGCTGGCGGTGGTCGTAGGACTCCTGGCGGGGACTTGCGAGAGGAACGGGAAGCTGCCGTTTCCCGGCTTTGCGTGCCTGTGAGCGCCCAGGGCGGCAGCGGTAGGAGGAAGCGCTGCTTCTGCTGCGTTAATCTCGCACTATATTTATTTACTCCGTGCCTCCCTCCCTCCTTTCCCTTCCTGTTGTGGCTCTTTCTTCTTCCTTAATCAGGTCCACTCCCTTCCTTACCTGAAAAGGGTGGCAGCTCTTTGCCCCTGTAAATTTGTGGCTAGCTTTGGAAGCCTCTTTCCACCCGCACTGCTCCTTCCCTATCTATGCACATGATGAGGATTGGATGAAGGGAAAGGAGACAGAGAAAGAGACGCTTCTTCTTGGTATCTCCCCCCATTGGGACCCGGCATTCCGCCGCCTGTTCTTGCCTCCCTCGGCTCGCCTCTGCTGTGGTTTGTATGAGGTGTGTGAGATAAGGCGGGAATAGGAGCCACGGCAAGAGGGGGGTGGAGAGGGGGAGGAGGCGGAGGGGGGAGAAGAATAGGGTGCGCCGCCGAAGAGACCATGAGGAAATTTAACATCAGGAAGGTGTTGGACGGCCTGACAGCGGGCTCGTCGTCGTCCTCTTCGGCTTCCTCCTCCACGCAACAGCAGCAGGCTGCAACCCGAGAGAACGACATCCAAGAGACCCTACAGTCCGAGCACTTCCAGCTCTGCAAGGTGAATGCTGCAGCCGTTAATAGCCGGCTGGGAAGAAATGGGGGTGGGGGTGGCGAGGGAGAGAGTGGAGGATGATGTAGCCATGATGGGTTCTGCAGGCTCTGGACTCTTATGCTTCTAAAGCTGTCAATTTACTTTTTTTAAAAAAAAAATTTGGGGGAGGCGCAGGGGGGAGCAACGACGTGGATGACGCTATGATGGACTCCAGGCTTTTATTGAGAAACATCTTTCTCCTGTGAGAATTTATCCCATCTGCATTTTAGGCTGTTCCTAAAATGCATACATATATTTCAGTTGCTTTTTTCCCAGAGAGAAGGGTGTAATAAGTGCATAGATCTGAGGACTGCTAGAACGTCTTTCTGATGGGATAAGGGCACAGGCTACAAAATTTTCTGCATTGTTGGCAGTACAAGCTTTGTATAGGCATTTTATCTGGCTTTTGCAAATTTAATTCACCAAACAGACAGTGCTAATAGCTCTTTAAATATTTAGGATAGGGATGGAAAGTTGTTGATTATTATTAACAATAAAAACAACATTTCTGCTCAGATAAGATAGGGCAAATGCAGTTGAAGTCTAAATTCCAAAATGATGATGCAGCAGATTAATTCACTGGCTGTGCCAAAATGAAATACAGAATGATGTGTATGTTAATGCTCATCTCTACCTTTACAACACCTGTGGCCTGAGCAGCTGTAGCTTGGCTTGCTTGTGGATTGACTACTTTTTCCAAATAATGGAGTGGGAGTGAGTGTTAATCTTGAAGATTAAAAAAGCATTCATGTTTGACTAGCACTGTCCTATGTTTTCTTCCCTGTATCCCCATATAAGTTAGATGAATTAGAGATTCAAGTATAATACTTGTGTTTTATTAATATAAGCCTATATATGAGGAATCTTTTGTTAGAATGTCTCATTACCATATAATGCTGGGCTGAGATACATTTAATTGTAAAGAGAAGAGATGGAGTACCATTGCAATGCATAGCTGCAGAAGTATGTGTAAGAGGTTTGTCTGGTTTTTTTAAAGCTACCCTGGAGTAGGAGGTTTATGTCATTCAAGGCCTTCTTCAGAGAAATAGTGATAACTCTCTGAAGAGCCATTTTAATAATTAGTGGTCATTTAATTTACAAGACTGGTTGCATCATCACTTTTCTCAGGGATTGTCTCTGATTTTAATTCAGATGTCTTAACCACAGCTATTTCTGGGAAGAATTACAGATTAGGGTGGGAATACAATAAAGGTGAAAGATGAATTGGTGGATGTTTAGTTTAAATATACATGAGTGGCATCAAATTAAAGTTTCATTTTGATGTCTCTATGTACCCATTTTTCTCCAGTAAAGAGTCATTTAGATCATTTTGTTTTCTTAAATACTTGTTCCTTAATTAAGTGAAAGTAAAATGAAATCACTTCTCTCTAATATATATATTTTTTTCTTGATGCTGCCTGATCCATGATTGCTTCACTACTCTGACTTGACAGACTGTACGCCATGGGTTCCCCTATCAGCCTTCGGCTTTGGCTTTTGATCCTGTTCAGAAGATACTTGCCATTGGGACTCAGACTGGTGCTTTAAGGCTGTATCCTTTTATAATTTTCTAAAAAAAGAAAATTACTAAGAAGACTGTCGTTGTGTACTGTATAGTACTGGAGTTACTGTGATAAGGCACTCTGCAAGTCAGGTATGCATTTGACTGGGGGACTGGGGTTTCCTGTTTCTTTGCATTTACTGTTGTCTGATGCAACTGTACCAGAACATCAAATGTATCATAAGATTTTCTTTTTTCAGTAGCTGTCTGTCTGGTCCATTTGGGATGCATAAACTGGAAACCTGAATAAAGCTCACATAGTCTGTTACACACTTTTAATGGTTTAATAATTCCTTACTGTTAAAGAAATGGTTCTCATGCAGAATATATAGAATCTGTACAGTAATTATTTTTAACAAAGTTTAATTGCGAATGAAGTTGAGATTTTTGCATTTAGAAGAATTTGTATTATGTTTTTGACACAATGTTTATGCTACAAATAATTTTAGCATGTTTCTTTAGATGTAAAATGCTTCCTTATAAGTTTTATGGTAAGTGAAATAAGATTGTGCTTGTGACACCAAACCTCAGAACTGACAAATACTAAAACCAGTTTTTTCATAGCCAATTTAAGAGACTAAAACAATTGAGAAAACAGATAAAGTATTGCACATGATTTGCCACTAGTGTTGGTCAAACATGTGTTAAAAAGTTTGATGCCACAGTAATAGTTGTGAAATTTAGCATATTTTATATGTATGGTTATTGGTAATTAAGGGTTTAGATTTTATGCTGTTTGGCTGCATGACTAACTATGTTAATAGAAAAATGTTGAGTTGCAAAAAAAGTAGCTTGTTTACCGAAGTGAACTGAGTAGATTGAGTTATTAAGTGGTGTCATTCTTCAGTAGAAGCTTTTCCTGTGATAAACAAAAGCAATTCTTTTGGGGATGGAGTAAATGCACAGTAATGATCTCTTCAGCTGTGGCAGTGCCTAGAATTACAAAGTTTGCAACTCTGTCTACATTTAACTGAGAATACGGAACATTAAACAGGCTTATTAAAATAAAGTGGTTTTTTATTTTATTAATTTAAGGATATTGTGCTTGGAAAAAATTGTGGTGGTAACATTTTGTTATTTTTTTACTAACTAGAAAATATGCGGGGGGGGGTTAGTAAACTTTGTTAGCATTGCAGGGTTATACCAAGTAGAAATATTATGTCAGCAGAAAAAAACTGCTTTTAGAATAGGTTTGCCATTTCCCCCTGTACACACCATGAATCCCTCTAATTTACTCTGGAAAGTTGAAACCTTCTGGAGAGATTTAGGGTACGTGAGGAAAGAAAAGTCAGAGAAACTCAGTTGTGGGAATAGGCTTCCATTCACATGAAGTTGACTAAGCCGAGTACATATCTGGCAGAATTAATACATTCTAGAATGCGTTTATGTGCAAGTTTCAGACTCCCAATATTGAATCTATATTTCTCTTTACAAATTAAAAAATATCAAGCTTTCACTATGTGCAGCAACTTTACTCTGGCAGCAGCTGACTTTGGCAGTAGCGACTCTTCTCCGTTGCTGCCAAAGTCAGCAGCATGTGGCAGCTTCTAAAAAATTCTGATTTTTTGAATGGGAACATCAGGGTTCATGCACTGAGTAATCCAGATTAAAGATTGGTCAGTGTGTTCATGCTGATGCTCATCATTGGACAAGGCAAGCTGTAAGTAGGCCCATTAATGGAAATCGCTCCTCTTGGCACTGCTTTTTGTGAAAAGGGATCCTGCTCCTTTTTTTCATGGAGTCTGTAGAAGTGATGAAGGATTACAGGAGTTTGTACTTAGAGTGAGTCACTATAGAGCAATCTTTGGAGGAGAAAATAAGAGTACAGATTCAAATGTTTACTAGGAGTTCTACTATAAGATCCTTATTTATGTAATGATAGTCCTATACTTTGGAGCTGGACAAAACTGCAACAAAGGTAGGAATTGTCCTTAATTGATAATGTCAGTGGCAAGCTTTCAGTATTTATGGCTCTGTTCAATCTGCCTTATGGATATTAAATAAGTATATGTGTTTGCTATCACATTTGTAGAAAAAATAGTTTTAGATTCTGGGGAGGGCACTCTAGCATGCTTTTTCAATCCCCACTTGAACAACAAATGGAACTGCTTCTAGGTTTGATCTCTTTGTTGCTTTCTTAGGTATACCCTGTAAGAGAAGAGGGGTTGCACAGCACTTCTGTAGGGTGAGAGTAGAGCGTGTTGAGAATTATGTACAAGAATACTTGCAAGTCTGAGAGAATACTAAATTTGGCATGCATATTTCTTTGTCTTCAGCTCCCCAATGTAAGGGTGCAAGTCAGTAGACATTTTGAGTCTAGGACAGTGGTGGCGAGCCTATGGCACATGAGCCAAGTCGCCCTAGCATTGCCCCAGCAGCTGAGCATCGGATAACAACACGCATAGGGGCCATGCGCATGCTCAGAAAGGAGTAGCGGTGCCAGGTGATGCCTTCACGAGCCGCGACTCATTAGCTGCGACTTGTCCAAGCTTTCGCATGGCCGGTCAGTGCTCTGCCAAGGAGATATATATTTGCTTGGACTGGCTGTGAGTTGTTTTTTCTAAACTAAAACCTCAGTTTTCAGGTTTTATTGCAGTGTTAACATTTTGCGATAAGTGGGTTTGGGCACTCGGTCTCTAAAAGGTTCACCATCACTGGTCTAGGGAGATGTTTTGGAGCTAGAGAGGACAAACATGTATTGTTCTTATGCCTTAAAGTCAGCTTTCTCAATCTGGTGTTTTGCAGATGTGTTAGACTACAGTTTCCGAATGTTAGGAAAAAAAATATGATCTACCATTTCCTTTGGTAGCCTGTTACTCTCTTAATCTGTTTCTTTCAAAAAAAAAAAAAAAGGGAAAAAAAAGAAAACCTAATTTCAGCATTTTTTGGCCCTTGAGATTTAAAAAGCTTCAGTTTCAGTGGCTAGAATACATCTTCTCAGATTTACATTAGGTAGCATATACACAGCATAAGAATGAACTTTGTTACATCCCTGGAATGTTTAGAATGCAAGATAAATTCAAAATGTATTATTCAGGTCACAGGACAAGTTAAAAAGGCAATGTATTTTTTCCCATTGAATTATTTGCCTTTGTGTTAGTAAAGTTACTTCATTCTCTTTGAAAATGGTGCTTCCTGGAGCTTGTGTTCAGAGTATGAGGTAACAACCTCTTTCCTCATTGTGCTTAGTAGTTGTTTACATGCTAATAAATCAACATTAGTTTTCAGCATTTTTATAATATAGACCTTTTAAAAAGATCATTAGCATATCTCTTAACTCAGTGTGAATCTTTGCTGATAATATAACAGAAGTTTGGTGATCTTGTGTTCTGGTGATAATCTATAATGACATTATTACAAATGGATTAGGTTTTGTAGCTTTTTCTGTCCTCTTACTTATGGGCTAATCTCCAGTCATTCTTTACAGGGGGCAAGCGTAGTCTCAGTTATTTCAATCATAATGCATATGTTTGAGAACTCCCTATCCAGTATCTTTTGGCAATGAGAATGTCAGCATTCATTGGACCACCGTAGTTTAAAGATTATGTATACAGGCAGTATCCAAACAGTTACATGAAGTACTCATTTTAACCACCCGTATTTTTATAGTCCACTTGCTTATCTTGATGACTTTTAAGCACTGTACACTACTATTTGAAGGTTTTCTTCCATTTCTGTGCTCATTTACAATCTCCCTCCATCCTCAACATGAATAGTATGGTATTTCACTTTAAAAGTGCTATATGTCAGTATTTTAACGTTTTCAAAGCCAGAAAATGCACAGGGATTACCTAAAAGGTCAATGCAAAAAATATGCTAAAAATGATGCCTCTTTTAGTGTATTTAGAGAAAACATGCTCAGCTTTGATGGGTTTGATAGGCTGTCTCATGACTCATGTCGAATCCATGTCCTTTAAAGATAGAAGATAGTGTTAAGGGTGTTGGTATAAATGAAAGATTGTAAGATATATACATACTGCACTATGTGGCAATATTATGCATTTGTAAGTCAGATACAGTGCTACTTCTAGTTGCAATAATTTACTAGGAGTCATCAGTCATTTGCTAGGGGCTATCTATCTGGAAGTATCCATCACCCCCAATGTCTTCATTAAGCTCATCCAAACTTTCTGTGACAGCTTTCTTGAAGAAACAGTTTCTTTACACTGAAGTTTCATTAACTTGAAATCGACAACATTTCAAGTTGCATTTGAAAACAACTTTTGCTGTTCTCACAATCCACTTGAATTTGTCTTCCTAACTTTACTGTTTTCTGTTTCTTTGTAGTTGTAGAGCCAAAAATATAACAGCTTCACAGATCATAACTCTGGAAAGCACACAGTTCTAGACTTGCTGATGTCCTGTAATGGAGCAAGCCTGGAAGCATTATAACGTTGAAAATATAGGGGTGTGTTAGACTGTGCACTTAACTTGGACCAGCAGAATCCTGTGTGTGGGTGGTGGGGCAGTTTCCTTCCTATACATCCAAGTTGCTAAAAGTATTTGGACCTTAGAACAGCTGTATGTGTAATCATCTGACTGCCCTTTCCTTTTCACAGTGGATGTGTGTGTGGCGGGGGGCAGCGGTGATTTCGTATTTTGTGGCATAGTGCAAGAGTGGGACTGGGTCCTGGCAACCCCAATTTTTGACTTCACTGCTAAGGTCAAGGAAACTTGCCAACTGCCCCACAAAACTTGCTTTATTTGCTTACTTTAATGTAATCCAAGTAATGGTTTAACAAATGTACTAAAGGATGCTTTTTCGTTTCAATTGAAATGTTTATTGTGAGATTCAGACTAAAATCTCTTCCTTTCCTTTTTGTCTTGCCCCATGTAGCTGATAACTCATTCTTAAGAAACAGATTCTTAGTTTAAGCACTGTTTTGAAAACTGATGAAGGATCAGCAAGGTTTAGAAGCTTGGGAAAAGCATTCTTCTGATAATGTTGTCAGATTGGTTGCTTTTAACATTAGCCCTTCAGTGATGGAGGG